TGTGGTGTCTTTATCTAGTTTTGGTATCAGGGTAACGCTGGTCTCAAGGAATGAATTTGGAAGTTTTTCCTCCATTTCTATTTTTTGGTATAGTTTGCGAGAGGTATTAACTCTTCTTTAAATGTTTGGTAGAATTCACTTGTGAAGCCCTCTGGTTCTGGACTTTCGTTTGTTGGGAGGTTTTTGATTACTGATTAAATTTCTTTGCTTGTTATCAGTCTGTTCAAATTTTCTATTTCTTCCTGATTCAGTTTTTGTGATTTACAGGTTTCTAGGAATTTAACCCTCTCTTCTAGGTTGTGCAATTTGTTGACATATAGTTTTTCATAATATTCTCTTATGATTATTTGTATTTCTGTGGTGTTGGTTGTTATTTCTTCTCTCTCATTTGTGATTTTATTTATTTGGTCCTTTCTATTTTCTTTTCAATATGTCTGGCTACAGGTTTATCAATTTTATTAATTTTTTTCAAAGAACCAAGCCCTAGTTTCATTCATGTGTTCTACTGTTCTTTTAGTTTCTATATTATCTATTTCTGCTCTAATTATTATTTCCTTCCTTCTTCTGGCTTTAGGCTTCATTTGTTGTTTTATTTTCTAGTTCCTTTAGGTATAAAGTTAGGTTGTTTATTTGAGATTTTTCTTGCTTCTTGAGGTAGGTCTGTATTGCTATATATTTCCCTCTTAGGACCTATTTGTTGCATCCCAAAGGTTTTAGACCATTGTGTTTCAATTTTCATTTGTTTCCATGTATTTTTTAATCTCTTCTCTGATTTCTTTATTGACCCATTCATTGTTTAGTAGCATGTTATTTAACTTCCATATATTTGTTGTCTTTCCAGATTTTTTCTTGTGGTTGCCTTCTAGTTTCATAATGTTGTGGTCAGAAAAGGTGCATAGTATGACTTCAATCTTATTGTATTTGTTGAGGTTTGTTTTGTGGCCTAATATGTGATGTAGTCTGGAGAATGTTCCATGTGCACTTGAAAAGAATGTGTATTCTGCTGTTTTAGGTTGGAATGTTCTGAATATATGTGTAAAGTCCATCTGGTCCAGTGTGTCATTCAAAGCCACTGTTTTCTTACTGATTTTCTGTTTAGATGATCTGTCCATTGATGTAAGTGGTGGTAGTAAAGTCCCCGACTATTATTGTATTATTACTGATTAGTTCCTTGATATCTGTTATTAACTATTTTATGTATTTGTGTGCTCCCATGTTGGATGCATAAATATTTGCAATTGTTGTATCTTCTTGATGGATTGTCCCCTTTGTTATTATGTAGAACCCTTCTTTGTCTCTTGTTACAGTCTTTGTTTTAAAGTCCAGTTTGTCCAATGTAGGTATTGCTAATCTGGCTTTCTTTTGACATCCATGTGCATGTAAATATTTCTCCATCCCTTCACTTTAAATCTACAGGTGTCATGAGTCTCTTGTAGGCAGCATATAGATGGGTCTTCTTTCTTTTTTTCCATCCATTCTGACACCCTATGTCTTTTGACTGGAGCCTTTAGTCCATCTACATTCAAAGTAATTACTGATAACTATATATTACCATTTTATTACTTTTTTTGTCATTGTTTCTGGAGATTTTTCTCTGACCTCTTGTCTTCCTCTTTTTTATGTTTTGCTTATTTTCTTTAGTGATATATTTGGATTTCTTTCTCTTTATTCTTTGCATTTCTAGTAGTGGTTTGTCCTATATGGTTACCATTAGGTTTGTATATAACCTCTTCTGAATACAGCAGTCTATATTAAGTTGATGGTCATTTAAGTCTGAACCCATTCTTTTCTCCTCTTTTCCCCATGTTTGAGATACATGTTAATATATTTTATACCCTTTTTTTGGTGAGTTCCTTGACTGATTTTTTTACAGAAATATTCATTTTTACTGCATTTGTGTTTCCTGCATTGGTCCTGTCACTTTTGGTCTCTCGTTTCCACTTAGAGAGTCCCTTTTAATATTTCTTGCAGGGCTAGTTTAGTGGTCACAAACTCCTTTAGTTTTTGTTTGTCTGGGGAAATGCTTATCGCTCCTATTCTGAACTGAGGCCTTGTTGGATAGAGGATTCTTGGCTTCAGATTATTCCCATTCAGCCCTCTGAATATATCGTGCCACTCTCTTCTGGCTTGCCAAGTTTCTGTTGAAGAATCCCCATCTGGCCTTATGGGTTTTCTCTTGTAAGTTAATGACTTCTTTTGTCTTGCTGCTTGTAAGATTTTTTCTTTATCACTATACTTAGAAAATTTAATTATAATATGTCTTGGTGTTGGCCTGCTTTTGTTGATTTTGTTGGGGGTTCTCTGTGCATCCTGGATGAGGATGTCTGTTTCCTTCTCCAGATTAGGGAAGTTTTCAGCTATTATTTCTTCAAATAAATTTTCTGCACCCTTTTCTCTCTTCTTCTGGAACTCCTATAACACGAATGCTATTACGCTTGATAGAGCCACTGAGTTCCCTAAGTTTATTCTCGTTTCACATAATTTTTCATTCTCTCTTTTGTTCAGCTTCATTGTTTTCCATTTCATTGTCTTCCAGGTCATTACTTCATTCCTCTGCTTCTTCCAGCCTGGTGTTCATTGCATCAAGTGTGTTTCTAATCTCATTTATTGCACTCTTCATCTCTGATTCTTTTTAAATTCTTTTATCTCTGTGGTAAGGGTCTCCCTGATGTTCTCTATTTTTCTCTCAATTCCAGTAAGTATCCCTATGATCATTGCTTTACATTCTCCATCAGGCATGTTACTTATCTCTGTTTCACTTAGATCTCTGTCTGTGACCTTATCTTTTTCTTTCGTTTGGGATAAATTCCTCTGTCTTCTAATTTTGTCTAAGTCTCTGCCTGCTTCTTTTATTAGAAAAGCCAGTTATTTCTCCTACTCCTGAAAGTAATAGCCTTATGAAGAAAAGGTCATGTAGTGCCCAGGGCCTGGCTTTTCAGGGAGTGTCTCTGGTATGTGTTACATGTGTGCTGCCATTGTGTCCTGGCCACTTTATCCTTCGGGCCAGTCATCTGCAGAGGCTTTCCTTGCCTGCTGTGGGCAGTGTTTGATTCCTGGCCTGAATGTGGCAAGTTTTAACTACATATGCTTTGGTCTGCTTTGTGAAATGAGACCTGTCACCACCTCCACTCTCTTGCAGGAACTGAGGTCCTGCAAAATTCTCTGGTCAGGAGATGTGGTATGGACAGGGGTTTGTGCTGCTCTTCTGGGGGAAGGATCTGCCGGCTGGAACTGATGCAAGTATGACTGAGAAGGGCAGTCTCATTGGAGTGCAGGGAGGGAGGCTTAGTATAAGCAAGTTAGACAGCCAGTATCACTGCTGTGCTGCTTCCCACTGGTGGCTCTGTGCTTATGGTGAGGGGCCAGGGAAGGAAATGGCACCAGCAAGCTCCTTTGTTCCTGGAGAGGTATCTCTGTGAATGCTGCTTCTCAGGGACACACTAAGAAAAAATGATCTCCCCAATGTGTGCCCCAGTCGTTCTTCAGCTCACTGTTTCCATACTGGATGCCCTCAGGTTGTTTGCCTGCCTTCTCTCCTAGAGCAGCACAGAGCTTTCCAGGCTGTATCACAGCAAGCCCACTGACCTTTAAAACTCCAGTGTTCAAGTCCCACTGGTTTCAAGAACTCACGAAATTCTGCCCCTCTCGTTTTGCAAGCCAATGTCTAAGAGGAAACATTCTCCTTTCGAGTTCCCCTGCATGCTCCTCTCTCTATCGCCCTTCTCAATGACCCTGGCTCCCTCCCCTCTGCAGCACCCAGGATTTACTTCTCCCCTAAACCACTTCTCCACACTTCCTACCTTCTTCAACGTGACCTCTTTTCTCCCTTTAGTTGTGTAGTTCTATCAGTCTTCAGGTCAATTTTGGGGTATTCAGGATGATTTGATAGTTATCTGGTTGTGTTCATGGAACAAGGTGAGTCTAGGGTACTCCTACTCTGTTGTCATATTCCTGTTTCTCTGCACCATGTCTAATTTTTAAGACCATAGTATTGCAGGGGACTCAAAAATTCTGATCTGGAAATTAAAAAAACTTGAACAGCAATTTTTCATTTGCATTCCAGCTATAAGATTCCTCCTGTTACCTTTCATCCCCACCCCTGCTAAGGTAGGTGAACATCTCTGACTAACTATGGAGTAGATTCCATACAGAAAGAAGCAATGATATAAAAACACAGTAATATATTTCAAAATATATGAACCCTATTGCATACATGATTATAAGTAACAAATGCTATTTTAGTGTTACAGAAGCATGGTTAAATGGAATAGTAACACTGCTTATAGATGTTCCAGTGGATAAGGATACTGCAAATATAGGTAAAATAAGGAATATAAATTCACCCATACTCTCCTTAGACTTGTAGTAAACACTGCTTTTCCATTTCTTGGCCACTCACCATTTAATCTCTGCAGAGGAACTACAAACCTTATAATGACAAGTATTTTTCCTGTATTTTCTGTCAACCATTTATGGAAATTTTCACCTGCTGATTATTTTTATATTAAAAGACTTAACTATGCTGACTAAAAATTCATAGTATAACTTGAGATTATACTAACAATATTCTGAGAAATAAACTTATTGGTTTCATCTCTTTTTACTTCTATGGATTTCTATATTTGTCTAGGTAAAAAAAATCTCAAAATGAGGTCATGGACCAGAACAAATAAGTATCACCTGAAACTCCTTATAAATACAAATTAACATCATAAACTCTGTGAGTAAGGGCCAACAACCTGTTTAACATGCTATCACAATGATTTGGATAGATGATAAAGCTTGAGAATGAGTGCTTTAGATAATCAATTTAATAGCCTATGAAGTGCTTATTTTCTATCATTTATATATTACAGGGTTATGAGTATAGTGGAAACTTAGTAAATATATTATAAAAAGACAAATAATTCAAAATCTATCTATCTACCTATCTACCCATCTACTTATGTATCTATCCAAGCCATAATTACATGTTTAAATTAGCACATCCATGCTCTTACTTGAGAAAGTCAAGAAGTGAAGAATGTTGAAAATGAAGTTGAGTCACCCTTTCAGTATAATCCTCAGGTAAGAACTGACTTGAATTAATTCCAGGTGGCATTTTTCCACTCAAGTGGAGCATCACATCGTAAATGGTCTTATTATATTTGGAAAAGTCATTCTGTCTAGAAAATTTTTTGGATGATGAGGTTGACGAGTAGAATTGTATTTTAAACACTTCCCTATGAGAAAACAATTTTAAAATTAAAAAAAACTCAACATGTTATGTTATGAAAAAATGTTCAATGACTAAATAAAGTTCAATTTAAAATCAAATAAGAAATTACAAAATTTACCTTATTCAGCTACCATTTGTTAGTACAAATTAGATGTTTTGATAACCCTGGAGCTTTTCACTACCTTGTTTTAAACACACATCATTATCTAATGTTGCAATTGTCAGGTCTGGAAGATTGGACTGTGATCAAAAAATGTAAGTGCTTTGGAGAAATAGTACATGGGTTAAGTCCTGGGCTCATTACCTACTAGCTGGTTGAGAAGTTATCCAAAATCACTGAACTCAAATTTTATACCATTTAAATTGGAGATAATAATGCCTATAATAGTTTTAAAGATAGATGTCAAACATTCATCACGCATGTTTAGACAAAAACAAATTTACACATATTTTCTCAATTTTGTATTTTAATAATTAGAAGGGCACATTGGCCTAAGTGGAGATTCACATTTTAAAGATAAGTCCAGAGAGCTATTGCTCCTATATATTTCTCTGTTCTTTAAATAAGACAGTACAACCTCTATTTCTGATACTTCCCACACTCAGTTATACTGCATGCTAATTTTTTTTTTAAAGATTTTATTTATTTATTTGACAGCGAAAGACACAGTGAGAGAGGGAACACAAGCAGGGGGAGTGGGAGAGGGAGAAGCAGGCTTCCCGCAGAGCAAGGAGCTGATGCAGGGCTCAATACCAGGACCCTGGGATCATGACCTGAGCCGAAGGCAGACGCTTAACAACTGAGCCACCCAGGCGCCCCTGCATGCTAATTTTTAAATTGAGTAAAATAAATCCAACCAATCCTTGCTGTCTATACTTTATCAGTTATCTAATACTATACTATATTGTCTATTTGCTTCATAGCAGTCAAAGTCAAAATGTATCACTAACTTAGACTAACAAATAAAAAGTGCCCAAGGAGCCATTTTGAATGGCAGTTCTCCAGTTTGGTAGCTAGTAGGTCTGTATTGCATATTATAGGACAAAGTACATTGACTTAGGTAAGGGGCTGACTACCATTGCTCAAACTCTGGCTCTGCCTCTTACTGTGGGACTTTATGGAAGCTATTTGACTTGTCTGTTTCTCAAGTTCCTCATTAGAAATGTACATAATAGAGCAGTATATCCTGAAGGTACCAACAAAGCAAACAAATATTTCATGGAAAAGAATTAACACTTGAAAATATTTCTATAAAAAATTATGAAAAAGATAAATGATCTAAACAGAATTAAGACATAACCAGACAATTACTAAAAAAAAGTAGAAAGAACCACAAGTTGAATACAAATAGAAAGAAACAATAAATAACATAAACAGACACACAGGGCCCCCACATATTACAGTTTTAAGACACAGATTTTAAAGTAATTGTACGTACTATGATTAAGATTGAGAATTTTGTCATCAAACTATAAATACAAAAATATAACTAATGGAGGGGCCCCTGGGTGGCTCAGTCAGTCAAGCATCCGATTCTTGATTTTGGCTCAGGTCATGACCTCAAGGTCATGAAATCGAGCCCTGCGTAGGGCTCTGCACTCAGAATGGAGTCTGCTTGAGATTCTCTCTCTCTCCCTCTGCCTCTGCCCTTACCCCCAATTGCTCTCTCTCTCTCAATAAATAAAATCTTTAAAATATATGTATATAACTAAATGGAAATTTTAGAAATAAACAAATCCAGGGCGCCTGGGTGGCTCAGATGGTTAAGCGTCTGCCTTCGGCTCAGGTCATGATCCCGGGGTCCTGGGATCGAGTCCCACATCGGGCTCCCTGCTCCTTGGGAGCCTGCTTCTCCCTCTGCCTCTCTCTCTCTCTCTGTCTTTCATGAATAAATAAATAAAATCTTTAAAAAAAAAAAAAAAAGAAATAAACAAATCCAGTAAGTAAAATTAAGAGAGCAATGGATGAAATTAACAGCAGACTAAATCAAGGGAAGAATTCATGCAATGGAATGTAGGCCATAGGAAAGTGTCTATACTGCAACAGAGAGGGACACAAGGATAGAAAAATACAGAAGAGTGAGCAAAGAAGAGGAGCCCCAAAGAATAAGGTAGTCACATAATGGGAAGGATATCGGTTGACAACTTTCCAAAACTGACAATAAAAAATCAAACCACAGATGAAAGAATCACTATGAATTCCAGTAAGAATAACTACAAAGAACAGGCTCTTTATGACGAAACATTTCCAAATGACCAAGAACATGTAAAAATTTTCTTAATAGCAAGAGCAGTAAGATGTCAGTTTAAACCACACCCATCAGTAAGAGCTAATATTGAAAAGACTGACAATATTAACTGTTTCTTACAATGCAGAGCAACTGGAACTTTCATTTATGACCTGTGGGAATGGAAATTGGTACAACCACCTTAGAAAATTGTTTAGAAGTAATTTCTAAAGGTGATCATATTTCTATCGTATGATCTGGCAATTTTAGTCTTAATATATATGCCTTTCAGAAATATGTACCAAAAGACGTATTAAAATTTCTATAGCATTATTCATAATAGAAAAATCTAGAAGCCAGTGAAATGTCTATGAACAGAATGATTAAATAATAGAATATTCATACAATGGCCTCGTATGCAGGATTACTAATAATCAACTCTGAAATGCAAAAATGAATCATATGAACATAATACTGAGCAAAAAAAAATCCAGATTCTACAAAAAAATGCAAACTGTATGATTCTTCCTACATAAAGTTCAAAAACAGAAAAAAACTAATCTTTGGTGTTAGAATTCAGGATAATAGTGACCCCTCTGGGAGATGGAAAGGGAGTTGGAAGGGGCAGGGATTCGGAGACATTAGCAGTGCTCTATTTCTTGGTCTAAGTGGTAGCTACATACATGTTCACATAGTTATAATTCTGTCTATATGTTACATGGTGACAAATATGATTAAAATTCAAAGAAACCTTAAACTCTGGAGTTTACAGATCTATGCTTGCATAATAAAACTTAAAAAAAAAAAGGTAGGAAATGATTACCATAAAAGTCAAGCTAGTAATTTCCTTTCAATTATAGAGATCTGGTAGGTTGTGTGGGTCATAAGAAGTTTCTGGGGTGCTGTCAAAGTGAAACCTGCATAGGGGTTTGCTCTAGGAGTAAAATGAGGGGTTGTACTTGGGTTTGTGAATCTTTCTCTATGTGTGTTTTATTTCATGATTTAAAAGTCAAAAGGAGGGGCACCTGGGTGACTCAGTATGTTAAGCGTCTGCCTTCAGCTCAGGTCATGATCCCAGGGTCCTCAAATCGAGCTCCACATTGGGCTCCCTGTTTGCGGGGGGCCTGCTTCTCCCTCTCCTTCCTGCTCGTGCTCTCTCGCTATCTCTCTCTCTCTCGCAAATAAAATAATTAAATCTTATAAATAAATAAATAAAATCATGAGGAAATAGCTTGGGTCTTCAAAGTTCCTCTAGCACCTGAAGACTGACTGAAATTAGCTAGTTAAAATTATTGTTCAGAGGACTGTTAATGGAAAAGGTGATATTGTTGGTGAATAACTGGATTGCCCACTGGAAGCACAAATTATGATGTATAAACTACAGTTTTTTCTTTAATAACTATATGCATGCATATCCCACAAATCTGAACTTTATGTGTCCACAACAGCCAAACTATGGAAAGAGCCAAGATGTCCATCAACAGATGAGTGGATAAAGAAGATGTGCCAAACTGGAATAATGAAATATTATGCAGCCATCAAAAAACCCGAAATCTTGCCATTTGCAACAACATGGATGCAACTAGAGGGTATTATGCTAAGCGAAATAAGTCAATCAGAGAATGACATGTATCATATGATCTCACTGATATGAGGAATTCTTAATCTCAGGAAACAAACTGAGGGTTGCTGGAGTGGTGGGGAGTGGGAGGGATGGGGTGGCTGGGTGATAGACATTGGGGAGGGTATGTGCTATGGTTAGCACTGTGAATTGTGTAAGACTGTTGAATCACAGACCTGTACCCCTGAAACAAATAATACATTATATGTTAAAAAAAAAAAAAGACGATAGTAGGAAGGGAAAAATGAAGGGGCGGGGAAATCAGAGAGGGGGAGATGAACCATGAGAGACTATGGACTCTGAGAAACAAACTGAGGGTTCTAGAGGGGAGGGGGAATCCCTGCCCCATACGCAAACAATGAATGATGGAACACTACATTAAAAACTAATGATGTATGGTGATTAACATACCATAATAAAATAAAATTTTAAAAAATCTGGACTTTATATTAATTAAAAGCTTGACAATTATTAACAATATTCCTTCTCCTCTTGTTTACATATTAGGATATTAAATGATATTAAGTTTCTTATTCAATTATGAAAGTCCTCCTACTTTGGAGATTGAAAATATGCACAAGCAAAAGGCTCAATATACTTATGTCATGATCTATCTTTCCAGGTAAAGAAACCACCTACCACTTAATCACTATCACCAGCAAGCAAGTAAGAAAATGGTTAAAGAAGGAAACTATCTTGAAAAGAATTATAAAATGATTCATTATTCTTAACAGCAATGTGGAGCAATGAAAAAAACTCAAGGAAGCCAACTCTAATCAGTTACTTAACCACTTTTATTTTAACACTTTCAGTCTAAAGACACATTTTTGTGACTTTGTTGGACATGGCTGGCAGAAAGAAGAGGCAGGCTGCTCAGAAACGGAGGAAAAACTTTATGTTTATATTATTAAATTTATCAGTAATCTTGCCAGCAGCTCAAAGTGACAAAGAAAAAGCATCACACACACACACACACACTTTTTAGAAAACATTAGAACTTCCTACATCAAACTGGGGGAAAATCCTGTGTGAGGGAAGGGAAATATTGTTAATGAAATATCATTTGGTAAGTGCTTGGAAAAGATAGGTTTGTTCTTTTTTTTTAAAGACTTTATTTATTTATTTGACAGAGAGAGACATAGCAAGAGAGGGAAC